TGTCAGAGGAACTCCAAGACTACCTGAGCTCAGGTTCAGAGGGTGAATGACTTTTGGCTTGTGTGTGTGCGTGCGTGTGTGATGACTTTAGTTTGTGCATGTGTCAGAAATCCCAGGAGTGCGATTATGTGTAAGTCTGCATATTATATCGAGGAAGACGAGCAGACTGCTTCTATCTGAACTCTGGCATACTCCATACCACCTCACTCCATCTTAATGATGCTACTTTTAGCTACTGTGTGTTTGCGTCAAGAAATTATGATGATAAGTCAGCAAAGGTCTTGCACCGGATGTTTTACAGGATTCTTCTTTGCATGTACATGTGCAGCTGATTACTTTTTAAGCCAAGTATATTCAAGATACAATTGGCAGTGGTGGTGCAGAGGTTAGAGATAGGTAGATCGCTGGTTCAACTCCTGGTACAGACAACATCAAAATGTGGGTGGAATTGGTGAAGCGCCCACACCTGTCTCCACCCTCATTTGCCCCACGCTGGACCCTTGAGCAAGGCCCTTAACCCCCACCATCTGCTCTCCCGGGTTTCCTAAATGGCCACTCCCTGCTCCACACAGAGAGCTGTGGTAGCTCGGTGGTCTGTGGCTGTGTCAGGAAGGGCATCCGGGGTAAAAACAATTGCCAAGTCTTAGTGCGACTTATCTCGCTGTGGTGACCCCTGACAAAAGGAGAAGCTGAAAGAAGAATATATATATATATATATATTCAAGATTCAATAAATAATCAACTTTGGAAAACACAGAAATGTCTCAAAGTCAGTCGGTTTTAAAGATTGAGTTCAAATTTATCTGAGCGTTGTCTCAGTGAATTCCTTTAGAGAATGCTAGTTTCATTTGAAGTGAGAGCTCTGGTTAAAGTTATTGAAACTGAATGGTATGACAGTTTTTGTCCATCTTCTCTATTCTCCCTTCAATGTGGCCAGTTTAAGTTACAGCCATGTTAAAGGAGACAGGCAACACTGACAGGCATCCAGCAGCATAATGGACTCGACTCGCTTGGCCCTGGCTGCTGCAATTTGAAAAGAAAATGTGATCCAATGCTCGGTGAATGGACGAGTGCAGAGACCTTTCAAGAAGGTACTTTCTTTTCTGTGTAGGATTCCTACAGATGCAAGGGTTGCACTTTGTTTTAGGGCCCCCAGGGGGCCCGCCTTTGAGCCATGTTTGAGCTCTCCTCTGTCTGTCTGCATGCCACATTTAAACAGATGTGAGGCCCTGGAACATAAATCACACGCCGTATTTCATCTCCTGCACACTACTGCTCATAACTTAAAGAGCCCAAATGAGGCATCAGATTGTGACCCAAAAATACTGAAACTGGAGCATTTTCCCTTTAAAGTGTCGCATTCAGATTGCAGGTTAAAACAAATTAAAGAGTCCGACAGCAATATTTTTTTTTTTGGTAAATCTTTATGAAAGGATGTGAGTGCATTTTGAAGTGACAATAACGTTGCACATAAAGTAGTTAAAATAGCATAACTGTTTTCAAAAGCGTCAGACAGAGCATGTGCTTGATGCGTTTTTAACTGCAGGTCTGCAGTTAATTAAAAAGATTTTGTGTCGCATAATGACAAACAGGATGTGTTTTTAGAAATGTTTGTGTGAATGGGAAATGCATTTGTTGTGCTTTTAGTGACATCGCGATGTTTATCATTTATGTTTTTGTCTATACAAAGCAGTTTTTCCAAAAGAGTCATTTTCGTCTGTGTGAGTGGTTTTTGTACATCAAAGTGACATTTTGTGTATTTTGTGGTCATCTTGAGACTTTTATTCTGAAGTGAGTTTGCGTGTGACCTTTCACGTTTTTGTACTTAGTGCACAAAACAGTTTCAATATGTTTTTTTGTAGTTTCTTCTCAGAGATTTGACAGACAGAAGGCAGCAGCAGAAAGAAAAGACTAAAATGGAGAAAGTGATGTTAATTTTAAAGCCATGACAAAGTGAAGTGCTGTAAAATTCTTGGACCCTCGCCATTCTCCATTTCCACTCTGGCTCGCTGTTTGAAGATTAACAGCAGGGCTTTCCAACAAAACATCTCCTTACTCATACTGCTCCCATCAGCCTTTTACTCTTCTCCTTAATCTTTGACTTACAAACCCCTCATCCTCCACAACAATAACTCTATGTGACCTAAATATTTGTCAAATCGATCATAATTTTAAAAGTCTTCTTTATTAAACAAAAACGCCAAAACCTGCGCTTAAGATGAAGCAGAAAACGTGTTTTTTTTAACAAGTTAGTCACAAAGCACATCATTGTTTCCTCTGTTTATAATGTCAGTTTATTTGCCGAGGGAAAAAGTGTATTAAAAATCACGTGCACACACTCCAAGCCTTGCAGAACTGATTCTCAGCAGAACATGACAGTGATTTCCTGAGAGAAGTGCTGAGATTAGTCAAAGCTTAAATAATTTCATAACAGCATATTCGGCCTATAAATCGCAGATTTTTGCACAATTTAAATGCCCTGCGACTTATACACCGAAGCAACTTATTTATGGTTTTATTTTCTATATTTAAAAAACTTTTTTTTTGGGGGGGGGGGGGGGGGTGGCTGCCGAACTTTTTTCATTAATTCTGACATTGGAAAATATTGAACACTACCATTTTCAGCCGCTAGATGGCACTTGAGGTGTATGGCATGCCGTTGTGTCATGTAATAGGTAAAAGTGGCTATTAATGACACATCGGCTTTCCATAGAGGCCACCTTCGTCCACCTCGCCTGGAGCAACCGTCAAATCAGCTTCATTTCTCTGCGCCGCCCCGGCGAAATGCAGCTAATTTGACCATTGAAGTGCATTTTTTAAGTAAAAGTTCAACTGAGACACACCTTTGCTATAATGTCGAGCTAACTAATAATTGTTTTAGGTGCTTATCTTGTTAAATTTTGAAGAAATGCGCAGCATTCCTCCTTCCTGATTTCCTCTCTCTGCATGCTCCGAGAGCACCAAGGCAGCAAATACTTTGGAAATGCAGCTCATTTTACCGTTACAGTGCATTTATTAAGTAAAAGTTCAACTGGGACACACCTTTACTATAAAGTTGAGTAAACAAATAATTGTTTTTAAGTGGTTATTTTGTTAAATTTCTAAGAAATGCACAGCAAGTCCTCCCATGCACGCTCCCGCTTCTGCGAATCAGCTTATGACATACAGCTGATTTGACTGTTAAAGTGCATTTATTAAGAAAAAGTTAAACTGAGACACACCTTTACTATATTTTCGAGCAAACAAATAATTGTTAAGTGTTAATCTTGCTAAATTCTTGTTAAAATCCTCCCGTGCACGCTCCTGCGGCTGCCATTTGGCAGCCAAACAATTTTTGGCACATTGGCCCACATTTCTGGGTTGTCAGTAGTGACGTGTAACAAATGCAACGTATCAGCGGTGACGCATAATAGATGCAAGTTACGCAGCGAAGCGACATATTTGTTTTTTCCACTTTATTAGACATATTTGGACTGATGCGATTTATACAGCGGTGCGACATCTACGGCAGAAAATATGTTAGATAGTTTTGGTCCACGCTCAAATTTATTTCAGGCTCTCCTTTTGAGGCATCAACTCTGCTGGGCCTCACAGAGAGCACACCGACTAGTGAGATCCAAAATGAATCGCCGTGGAGGCTAAATAAGATGCAGCAAACTTGAAGGAAATCATTTAAATCCATTCAAATCCAGAAAAGTTTGGTTGTCTGTTCCAGTCCTCACATCAGCAGAAGCCAATTGCATGCCTGACCCCAACAGGCCTGTGAAAGCATGGGAACCCTCTGAGGAGAAAAACTGGCTGCAGAAACACGGCTCAGCTAAACTCAACATGAACACTGATACATACACTGGTGGTGGTAAGGGGGTTCACCTCACCATGACCCAAGCAGCAAAGCATGCCAAACTTTGACCCATCTCATTATCTGTCCAGACACTGAGGTCAGGTCTGGGGTGATAACCTGTGCACCCTGACTTTTAACCCCAGGGCCTGAACTGTGCAAGGGCTCTGCAGTGTGTTTGAATCTGTGCGTTTCTATGCAGGAGACTAGGGAAAAAAGATAGGGAACAAGGAGCACTTAAGGGAAAACATATTTTAGATATTGCGGTGAGTGAACGACAGAAAAATGTAGCTCTCATATAAGCAGCCACACTAAAAAAAGTCCCACTCAGCGAAAGGTCAGCTCTGTTTTCCTTCAGACTCGTCGACTCAAATCAGATTTGTCTTCCCCTGTCGGAGTGAACTGTCTATGTGGTGCGGGGAAGATTCTTACAACATATCTTTGTCTCCATTTCTAAAATTGTAACTTGTTCTCTCACTTGGCTCATTGTGTGCGTGTGTTTAAGATTGGTTGGAAGCTATTCCATGTGTAGAACGGTCAAATTCTTAATATGAAACCTTCACAAAGCTAGTTTTTTTTCCCCCCAAATAGCAAAGTCTAGGATTACTTATATTCCAAGCAGTTTTTGTATTTCAGTGCAGCATGTGTTACAAGTAACATTTTGAATTAAATACATTAGGAAAACTCCACATAGGGCCTTGGCTTTGATTCCACCGTGTGCAGAAACAGCGACAATAATCACAAACCCCCATGTCAGAGAGAAGCTCTGTTTAAGGCTAAACATGCTCCGGAGCAAAGCATGCATGAGTTTGGAGTTACAAATAAACAGGAACTTGTTGCTTTGGTTTCCCCCTCGCTGTTTCACAATGTGTGGTTGCTGCGCAGCTTAAGTGCTGCCTGTGTCTGGGTGCTGAAATCACTTTTCACCCTGCACAGCAGCTCCCGCCGCAGCGTTTACCTTCCTGTACAGCCAAGACCACGCCTGCACCAGCAAAAATATACAACGGACAGAATACAAACATTTTCTCCAGTCTAATTGCAGGGCAAACATCACTCAATATGCTGGACTTGGTATTTGCTCTGCAGCAAATGGGGTCTGACAAGAGGAGCTGGTGGGGGCTCCAGATATGTGACTTAAAAGTGCTCAGTGGAACAATTTCATCCCCCACAAGCTTTGATTTGGCTGCCTAATGACCTCAGCTCAGATGTTAGGTATTAGCTAATCTGGTTTTATTAGCACCAAAAGAAATGTGATTAAATTCAACTGATGAAAAATTGTTTCCTTGTCCTCTCAGTGTCGAAGGTTTGCCCTCCCTGCAACAACGAGCTGAAAGCAGACAACATCATAGAGCATTACTGCGCCAGCGACTTTGGTAAGTAACAGAAATGGAAAAAACTTTATAAAATCTCCCTAAAGTCAGAGAAAGGTATGACTAAAATGCTCTGCTCATTTGGTGTGATACTGTTTAAGGGTTTAGTGTAATTTCTAATTACATCTCTAACAAGTTACCTTGTAAAAATATTTAACGCTACTTTTTAGTGCATCGTTTTCATTCAGCCGAATTCATTTCAGTTCAGTGAATTTAGCAAATGTACAAGAGTGACGTATGCATCTGAGGGACTTACTTTAAACAACGTGGTGAGATAATGCAGCTGAGCTCAAGCAACTGTTTTTAAGTGATAGACAAGTCAGCAGTAAAACATTGATGAGTGAACAGCATTCATCAAATACCGTATTTTTCAGACTATAAGGCGCACTGGATTATAAAGCGCATTAAGCAAAACAAAACAGTCAGATGTCAAACTTTAATCTTGATTACTTGATTTTAAGTGCGCCTTATAGTCCGAAAAATACAGTATTCTATTTTTTATTGATATCATTTATCGCCATCAACCGATAGCTTAAACCTTTACTTTGTGAAAACGAAAAAACTAACCAAAAAAATCATATTATCTGGGCTTAAAAATACAGTAAAGTTAAGTCAGGTCATCTGGTCTTTTTTTTTTTTCTTGTCAAGACGCTTCGCCTGTCGTCTAAAGGACTTCTTCAGTCCGAGGAGCTACATTAAACTCAGTCCCATAAGCAGCATGCTCACATGCCAACCAGTTTGCTGGTGATAAGATGGTTTCTGGGGCTCGCCCTCTCCCCTGTCGACTCCTCTGAGGCCGCCATAGCCAAAATGGCTCAAAACATCAACCACTGCTTGTGGGACTGAGTTTGTTGTGGCTCCTCAGACTGATGAAGTCCTTTGGATGAAGGACAAAACATCTCAACAACAACAACAAAAAAAGAAACCGTCCAGAGGACCTGACTTAACTTTGTTGGATTTTTTTACTTGGATTATTGAGCATGAATTTTAATGGATTTACAAATCTTTTTTATTTTTACTTTGTGACCTCCTTTGACCAGCATAACCCTTTTCTTCTCATAAACTGAACTCCATGAGTTATTTTCTCTGCTCATAACTGCCTGAAAGCTAAAGTCAATAAAGTTTTTGCCTGTGTCTGTGTTTGTTATTAGCAGCCAACATCTTATGAACCACTGGTCAGATTTTAATGAAAATACCTGAAAAAGTTATTGGATGTACAACTGACTTTTGAAGTCAGACCTATAGATGACCACTACACAGAAGCAACTTTAGCAATCTAAAAAACAAAACAACCTTTAACTCAGCCAATATTAGAAATATGAATCTAAAATCTATGCCTTTAGTAGCCGAGAGTGATCCCCAACATTTTCTGAGCACTTATACAAGATTTGATTTAAAACTTCCATGACCTATTGGAGTCAACTGTATCTGTCTGTTAGCGAAATGTCTCGTGAACCCATGGGCAGATTTTGGAGAAACACTCAAAAAGTAGACTTTGTTTTTACATCTCCAACTCAGTTACTTTTGGAGTCATCCTGATTAAAGACGATCACCACAGAATCAACCTCAGGCAGCACAAAATGACTAAACTCAAGTAATCTTACAGACATTGAGCTAAATTTGCTGTGTCAGTAGCTTAGAATAATCCTCAACACATAGTCCAAGGGTAACACATTTTGCAAAATGTTGCCATTTCACATGAGATTACGTAAAAAGTCTTTACAAGGTTTGACCAAAACCCCTATTATTCTGTCATTTCTCATCAAAGCATGACTTTTGTTTAACCTGTGATGATATGCATCCCTTCAATGGAAACTATGTCGTTACGTTGTAATTCCTGATTTTTGCATGAAGCCATAGCATCGTTATTTCATTATTTCTTCTCAATGGGGTTTTGACATATTATAACTTACACATTTTCTATTTTCAGTGGACGTTTGCCTCAGAGTTTTAAATTAAATGTACTGCTTTCTATTTCTTTCTGGTCTTACTTTGTTATTCCTGGCATTAAAGTAAAGGTGATGATAAAATAAAATAAAAAACTAAAATAAAATCAATAATATATTGTGAATATAGCCACACCTTCAGCGTGGTTTTAATACACTGAAGATGACCCTTATGAATAATACCCTGTAACATCCAGCAACAACAAAGGATGTCTTCATACTCTGAGCTGCAGCCAAGATACAAGCTCATCTTCCATGATTAATCACAACATTAATCAATACTTTTTTAAATTTATTTATCTGCTTAATTACGTATCTCAGTCTTTTCACATGAGAGGATTTCAAGGATCAGAGGGCATGTTTACTCAGATTATATGACTGAAACATTATAAGGTAAGTGAATATCCTGCCAAGTAAACATATTTCTAGACCAAAACTGTATGTGGCTGGATGAGAGATTAGATTAAGATAAGAAGGCAGTATACATTGAAGAGCAAGGCAACAATAAATGCACAAGAATCGTTTGGGCTACAGCTGATCTCATGGTTCGTGAACGCAGCTCTGTTCGGTTTTGGAAACTGTTTACCCTCAAAGCTTTCTTGTATTTTGTTACAATCCGCTTTTGATGTAGGATTCCTTAACATTCTTTGTTGTGCTATCAAACTCCAGGTTACAAAAAAATAGGCCAAGATGCTGGTCTGTACCAACACATCACGTAAACCTGGTGGATGAAAGAGTTTTCCCGCTTTAGCTCGAAGGAGATTCGCTTCTCCTCAAAATGACAGGACACTTTTCGATGCTCACAATGAAGAGAACCAGTTTGTTTAAAGACGTAGGCACAGCTTGCAACAAAGATGTTGGCCAGGCTGCACAAAGGGCCCCAGCACACTGTTCAGGACGGAATGTGACTGCACACAGGTGGGCATTTAAAGTGAAATGAAAGGAAAGGTGGCAATGTTATCCTCACACTTGAATACGGTCATTCATAAAACACACGCTCATCGTGACAAAACAGAATGTGAACAAGGAGCTGATCAGCCCACAAAAATCTTTTTGAACAGGCTATAATTTTAAATGTTTAGTATACATACATATAATGTACAATGGGTATTTATGCAACTTAAGCAGGAGAGTAGCAGCGGCTTCAAATGTTATCAGCCATTAAATTATCATTATTAGTTGTTATCATCCCCATAGGTTACACTCAGACTGTTCCCCCTACCTCCCAGTAGGTTTAAAGGTACGTTGTTATCATTGATAAAATGCATCTTAACCTGTAAGTAAAACTGGAAGGGTTTTTTGTTAGCTTTATTTAACCCTTTTCCTAAAGCTAACCTTATACCTGACCCAGATCAGTGACCCTAAACTTAACTCCCTGACCCTTGAGTCTATAACCTAACCCAGACCCTATACCTAACCCCCAGACCCTTGACTCTTAACCCAACCCCCCTGACCCTATTATCAACAATAAGAACGTACCTTTAAACCTACTAGGAGGTACAGGAGGGACAGTCTGAACGCAACCTATGGGGATGATAACTGATAACGACCATTTAATGGCTGATAACATTTGAAGCGGGTGCAAGTAGTGATGTAGTTATCTCCCAACAGGCGTGGGTACAAGATGACCCAGGGTCCAACTTGTGATTAATTTATCCTGTCAAATGGTTTCCCAGTAAACTCCTGTCTGAAACATTCTTCATCTCTCATGAGATGTCGCACTATTGCTTGCATGATCTGTTAACCCTTGGAGTATGTGTTGGGAGTGACTGTCAGCTATCATCACACCCAATTTTAGCACAATATCTGTAAAACTCCACTGAGTTCATCCATAAATGTGATTTATGATATAAAAATATGAACTCATGAACGCAGAACTCAGTGCTATATATCAGAAGTTAATTCTATTAGTAAATCTGAGTTTTTCAGATCTTTTGAAAGCTGCACAAAGTAATACCCAACAGAAACGTGTCAAACTCAAGGCCCAGGGGGCAAGTATGGCCCTGGTTACCATCTTAACTGGCCCCCAAGATGATATTTTGAAAATAAAATACTTTTATTGTTTCTCATTTTACTTTAAAAGTGAACATATACTTTAAGTCGTGCATTTAACAGTTGGTCACCTTTGAAGCCAAGAAAAATTAGTTAAAAATTTTCCATAATCTTTGATTTTGATGTGAAAAAAGCAAGAAAATGTGTCAAATGAGACAGATAAAACTCTTGTTGAGGCACCTACAAGCAAGAAAAGATGTCAGGTATCTAAATGAAGTTATTGTATTGACTGAAACTGGACCTTGGTTTGAAATAAGCTTTTAATTTTGGCCTACCTTTAAAAGTGAGCGTGACACCCCTGCAAGACTGCCATGATTTATTTCTTCAGAATTTAATTTATCAGATTTACCAGTTAAAACCAGCATGACTTGCATCTTGCTGAGGATTATGTGTTCTACTGTTTAGTCAGAAACCTAGGATATGAGGGTGTGTAAAAATGAGTGGAAAATTAGGTTAATAAAAACAATAATTTGTAGCACTTAATCCTTATGATAGACTCCCATTTATGGCTTTTGTTTTAAATTAAAGCACATTAAAGTTAGTTGCATGATTTACTGTAATTTATTTAGAAAAAATAACAAAAAATGGTCACGATCATAATATTTCTGAGTGAAAGTGTCCAAAATTACAAAAAAAAAACAGGCCATAATTTTGACAGTGTTAACAGGTCTTGCCACAATAACAAACAAGATAATAAAAAAAACAGCTTTATTACAGAGAAGAATGTTTGCAATGTGTAAAAGCTTCAGAACTGAAGTTCAAATAGATCAAGAGATTAGGAACGACTTGTTCACGGGATTTGGGTGTGAAGTTAATCCACGTCAAAACATCTCTTTCTTCCCCTCTCTTTCAGTCCTAAAGATGAAAATCAAAGAGGCGAAGAAGGAAAAGAGCGACAGGAAGCTCATTGCAGCACAAAAGAAGAAGAAGGTTTTGAAGCAGGGCATGCTCAGGAAGAAGGACTTGAAGAAACTGACGCTGTACATTAAGAACGGGGCCAACTGTCCGTGCTCTCAGCTCGAGAACCTGGGCTCCAACTTCCTCATCATGGGCCGCAAAGTGGACCAGCAGCTGCTGCTCATGTCCATTTACAAGTGGGATAAGAAGAGCAAGGAGCTCAAATTTGCCGTCAAGTCCATGAAAACCAAGCAGTGCTCCTACGCAGATGACTAACAGTGATGATCCTTGCTGCACCTTTTTTTAGCATTCACAATTCTTCCCACATCCCACCCTGCTTTAGTCATTCACCTTTAACACCAAGACTTCTGCTAAATCTGCTAATCATTTATTCTTTGAAGTACAGCAGGGTTGTACAAGTTTTAAAACATGGATCAGGACATTCTTTTAGCTGCAGCTCCCACAGATTAATCACGATTCGTTGTATGTTCCAAATCAAAAAAGCTGATCAAGCCCATTACAATGAACGCCGTCTTCTTTAATAATGACGCTTTTCTGTGTTGACAAAGCAGAATCAGTTAAACTGTATCTTACAGCATCTTAAAAAAAACATACAATAACATTATTAAATTAAGCAAAAATTGTGCAAAAGTTTTAGTCAAATTGAAGGACAATGGAGGGCAAAACACATGTAAAAATGGGGAAGTAAAATGTTTCCATGCACACACTGGCACAGAGCCTCTCAAAAAGCATAAATGCAAAAAAAAACAACAAAAAACCCCAGAGAAAATTCACTTAACTCTGTTCTTTCTCATGTAAAAAGTAAGGAGAGCTGATAAATAGATGTTTAAGAAAAATGTGTTTTTCCTGTTTGTTTCTCTGCTGAGACAGAAAGCTGATAGAATATAAATTAACAGACTGGATGATGATTTTTCAGACTTTGTATTGCATTTCTTGTTTTTGTGGCCTGAAAAATAACTGTTTTTGTGTGTGTAGAATTGGAGCAAGATGGATGTTGAAGTAGACATGCTGAAAGCTAAATAATAATAAAAACGGTACATTACTAGAAAGAAACAGACAGAGATTCTAAACAGAACCAACATTGTTGATCTGATAAGCTTCTTGGAACTCTTTTTTTTTTCCCATTATTTTTCAAACGCTTCATTTTTGTACTTAATTTCTTAAATATGCTTCAGATAAACTTCTATGGTATGAAAGCAGAAATCATACGTGCACAAACATAGCACCTAAGTACATTTTTGCTGTAGCAGTGAAATACAAAAAAAATATTTTGTCATAATCATCTAATCTATTAACCTGTTAGTAGTTCTGATGCTGAAATAGACATGTTTTTTTTTTCCAGAAAGTAAATAAAATATATTTGAAATTTTTATAAAGAATATCTCTTCAAGATGTCTCATTTCATTTTTTATTACCTTTAAACCACAAAATGCACACTTGTTTTTTTTTTACCTGAACAAAACTATTTATGTGAATGATAAAAGTCACAAGTGCTACTCAGTCCAGTATGTGGTAATGACCTTTATAGTACAGTAAAAAAAACATGATGGGCACTGTTTTCCATACTGACATGATTCCCACAAGTTTTGCAAGTCATCTTGTTAGCACTTATCGGAGGTGAACAGGCTAAGAAATAAAATAATGGAAAAATGAACATATCTGTTTCAAAGTGCAAATCCATATTTGATGATGCATCTACAAACATCACTTTTTGGATTTAGCGTGTGTTCAGTTCACACACTAATTGAGTAGGATGACCCTAAATTTAAAAGACATATAAAATCCAAGACACTATCCTAAAACATTTCAACTGTTGTATTTTTATTGCACGGCTTTCATGACAAATCAAACCTCCATTGCACAGAGAAAGCCCATCAGTTTTTGTGCTTCACCTCCAATACAGTCTTCCAGCAGTAAAACAGGTATACATTTTTTAATAGATAGTACCAAAAGACATCAACAGGACAGATTGCCAAAACATAAATTTAGTGTGTAATGTCCATTATTCTATAGCCAGACATTTAGCTCATTGTAAAAGCGATCCACGTTCATTGCAAGTTTTTGGGATTAGTTTTCTTCTTTCCGTTAGAAAATACACTGCCTGGCCAAAAAAAGTCGCCACCTGGATTTAACTAAGCAAATAGATATGAGCCTCCTATTGGATAATTTACTGCATGGGCGATTCTTTCAGCTGGCAACAAGTTATTTAACCCCAACTGGTGCAATGAGTTGCTTCTCATTTCTTAAACAACCATGTTGAAAGACACATTGCGTGGTCGTGGAGAAGACTTCAGTCTGTTTGAGAAGGGTCAAATCATTGACATGCATCAAGCAGAGAAAACATCTAAGGAGATTGCAGAAACTACTAAATTTGGGTTAAGAACTGTCCAATGCATTATTAAAAACTGGAAGGATAGTGGGGACCCATCGTCTTTGAGGAAGAAATGTGGCCGGAAAAAAATCCTGAATGATCGTGATCAATGATGATGATGGTGAAATCAAATCGAAGAAAAACAACAGTAGCACTGTGGGTTATGTTTAATAGTGAAAGTAAGAGCATTTCCACACACAGAATGCGAATGAACTCAAGAGATTTGGACTGAACAGCACTGTAGCCTTAAGAAAACCACTAATCAGTGAGGCTAACCAAAAAAAAAAAAAAAACTTCAATTTGTTAGGGAGCATAAAGATTGGACTCTGGAGCAATGGAAGAAGGTCATGTGGTCTGATGAGTCCAGATTTATTCTGTTCCAGAGTGATGGACACATCAGGGTAAGAAGACAGGCAGGTGAAGTGATGCACCCATCATGCCTAGTGTCTACTGTACAAGCCTGTGGGGGCAGTGCTGTGATCTGGGGTTGCTGCAGTTGGTCAGGTCTAGGTTCAGCAACAGTATGTGCTCAAAGAATGAGGTCAGATGACTACCTGAATATACTGAATGACCAGGTTATTCCATCAATGGATTTTTCCTTCCATGATGGCAAAGGCATATTCCAAGATGACAATGCCAGGATTCATCTGGCTCGAATTGTGAAAGAGTGGTTCTGGGATCATGAGACATCATTTTCACACATGGATTGGTCACCACAGAGTCCAGATCTTAACCCCATTGAGAATCTTTGGGATGTGTTAGAGAAGTCTTTGTGCAGTGGTCAGAATCTGCCATCATCAATGAAAGATCTTGGTGAAAAATTAATGCAACATTGGCTGGAAATAGATCTTGTGACATTTCAGAAGTTTATCGAGACAATGCCACAGTGAATTACATCAAAGCTAAAGGCGGTCCAACAAAATATCAGGTCTAAAGCTAGGCATTTTGTTGGTTTAGGACCATTATAAAGATTTTTTTATACCTGCTTTTATTTGGTGTTTCTGCATGTTTTTACCACTATTGTAGTCCATAGAAATGTTGTTTAGTCATTAAGGGGTTCCGTCTTTCTGATTTCCTTCTGGTGGACTATTGGTTTAGATTTGACAAGGAGTGTGCTGTTAAAAAAAGACTTTGTGCTTTAGGAAAAACATGGTATAGAGTTAATTTTTCTTTTACATTTAAGTATGCAAGCACACAAGAGAAAAACACAAACATTAGCAGCACATTATTACATATGTATAATTTATATCAATATTTAGCCCATAATTTGCTCAGAAAGTGGCATAAGAGTGGATTAAGACTTTCAGTCATGAGCCAGATATATAATTTGCTCTTTATACACCCCTCCTTGATTAAGAAGACTCTTGTTTGCCCCAAACTGTTTGAAAAAATAAGTGGCAAGCTAAAGTCAGCTCAACAAATAAAAAGTATTAAAAACTCTGGCAACAAAAAGGTCAGAACAGTTTCTAAAGCCTAAGCTTTTTGGATCAGTTGTTACTTCATGCATCTTCTACACAGTGTTCGAAACTTGGCAATGTTTAATGTTAACATTCATCACTGCAGCAATAAAGTAATGACAGAAAATGAGTAAAGTCAACTTTTATGATAAAAGGAGACACACAGCAGGCTGCAATATAGCTGACCAACTTTATGAAAACCATTCCCAGACTAATCACTCCAGACACGCACACACACGCACATAAAGAAATCAGAAATCAGAACGATTTGGCGTCTTTGTTCTAGAAGATGGATCAACTGTGACACTCCACAATGTTTCCTGACTTCGACTCAAATTTCCTAAAATGTGGAGACTTTTGAAGAGTGCTTGAAGCATGAATGCCAGCAGAGCAGCGATCTGTTTCCAAGCGATTGTGGAGATAATGCACAGCCTTGAGTCTGCAGAATGCCAAAAACAGGAGGGGACAGGCCTAATGGGTTTACATGTGTTGGACAGGACCACCTCTATTGAAAACTTTGAATTCTGTGTGATCAAAACCGAGACTGGAATACAAAAGCCACAAGGCAGGCTGGAAAGGTTTGATCCCATCTTTTGGAGCTGCTCTGCATACATGTAGTAGATCATGTACCTTAAAGGAAAATGATCAGCTTATATGCTGGATGTTCATGGGAAAAAAAAAATAGAAAAGTAAATAAAAGGATGGAAGTAGGAGAAACTTGGCATAGTCCCAAAGACACCCATCAGCACTTCCTGTAAGGTCACTTGTGTAGTTAATAAGGGCCTGATGATTGACCTGCAACACACGCAAAATAAACACGTCTATACTCGGAGAGGAACCGCAAGCGCACGCTGTCTCACTTTTATCCACTCAAGCCTAATTTTAAACATCTGCTCTGCGAAAGATTCAGCATTGAGTGCTTGGATGAAAAGAATGAAAGGAAAAATAATTTGACGGAAAAAAAAAAAGACCACCGGATCCACACACGCGTGCACACACACACATAATCCAGAATAAAGGCCACATTGTGTCTGATTTTATTGCAGTGTGCTGATAAGCAGCACCTTTTCCACAGCTGAATGGTTGCCGTCTGTCACCTGCTTGTGCAACCACCTTTCATACTGTCGATATTATCATGCCCGTCCCAAACGTTTTGGCTTTATTTATTTTTTTGCAGTTTAAATAACCTTCATGCACTATTCTATTTGAGTCTTTCTCTTAGTTTCTTTTTTTAATAATGTGCGTTAGAACTAGTTTGTTTCAGTGTTTAAGTGATGACTATTTTCAGAAACAAGTCAATAAACTTGAATATATGAATCGTAAAGGAGACGTATGGTGTGCTCACCCTACCCACTCTGCAAACAGTGAAAGCAGAGTGCTGACATTTGTATTATTATTAATCTCTTTACTGTTTTAGATTATTAGATTTTTGAAGTTACAAAAGAGAAAATGTCCACTAATCCAATGTCTACTATTAGATATTGAAACTGCTCTTAGAGTTGAACAGGATTGCTATGATTCTTTGAGCTTCTGGAACCTTATGTTCCCTCTCGGGCCCTGAGATCATCTGATCAGCTGCTTTTGGCTGTTCCAAAAAACAAAACTGAAGCTCAGAGGTGATTGGTCATTTCCAGTCATGGCCCCCCAACTTCGGAACAACCCCCCCCCCCCCCCCCCCCCCCCAACATTAGGCAGGCCAACTCCCTTCCTGTGTTCATATCTCTGCTAAAAACGTGTTTTCTCTGGCATTTCACACAGTGTGAGTTGATTTAGTATTTTTTATTCTGCGTTTTTATTTTTTCTCTTTAATGCTTTTAATAAATTTACCAGTACTATCATTAGTTTTATTATTTCCATTCATTTTACTCAGGTAAAAGCTGCTGTTTTAAATGTGCTTTATAAATAAAGTTGACTTGACTTTACACCG